ACACCATATATCAAAAGCCCTTTATGTCAAATTAAATATTTATTTAAAAAGCATAAGCTGGAGTGTCCACTTTTTAATTGACTTCCATATCTAAGGCCAGTGCTAGCAAATCTGTGCATCTGAATCAAGCTTAGTGCTGGTAAATCGTTTTGAAATATTGTACAAACCCTATACCTAGAAAAACAAAAAAGTGTCTATGAACATCTAGTTGTAATAAGTTATGCAACATTGCTAACCTCTAGACTGAAACCGCCCTTGTCTCCTGGCCTGTAGTGCTTACTGTCCCCATCTGCTCTGCGATGTGATTCATGATTTACAAGGTGACGATGGAAATCTTCTTCATGCTCATGGTGGGATTGCCATTCCATTTGTTCCCTCAGCTTGGACTGCTAGGTGCATGGGTAGTATATAAACACAAATAAAAAGAAGACAAGGGATGGGGAGGTAAAAAAAAAACAAAACAAAAAAAAAAAACACAAACAGACGTACAAACGAAAACAAAACAAAAATGGGTAAGGTAGACGACTGAAAAAAACTACAAGACAAAGAAAAGCGTGAAGAGGAAGACTAACTTAAATATGGTGGCATAAGACAGTGATGAAAACAAAACCAAAAAGAGTATGAGCAAAATGATGGGCTGAAATATCTGGAAAGCAAGAGAAAAAAACAAGGGGGAAAAAAAGAATGCAAACACTTGTTATGAGACGCGCATGCAATGAGAGGTGCATATGTCATACCAACAACAAGCGTGCAAGCCGTGAAAGCAGCAGCATACCAAATTTCTTCCCCATTGTAACAGTAAAATGTTTCATTTGATATGTGCAGTATGAACACGCACTCCTAAAAATTCTAGGATATCTTTCCTCCTTCACCGCAATACTGGCAAATATAATTTAAATAACGATTAAAGCTGAGAAATTAAAAGCATAAATTACCAGTTCCCAACAAATGGATGCTTATAAACTGCAGTAATTGTGAATTTATATAATCTAGAAAAATAATGTAGTTGGGGAAAAAACAGTGCTTGTTTGTTAATGGCAAAAAGAAGCAGAAACTAAAGCAAATAAGCAACACTAATTACCTGAAAGTCAGTTATGAGTTCTTTTCCAAGATTTCCAATTGGAGAATCTCGAGAAGCAGAAGTCAGGTTGGACAAGAAACTAGATGATTCTGTGAGATGTGGCATTGGGGACAGGTCTTCTGCATGCTCTTTTAGATCTTCCCCCGTGTGCTCAACCATTTCTAGAAAGTTATGCAACTCTTTCCCGAATACTTTCATTTTTGTATTAATGTTGCTTAAAACTTCTGACCCAGAGGTGTCTCCTCTGTCTGGACAGCCCTTTAATACTTCCTCCACAGAACTGCTTGTCATCTGCAATTTGGCATCATAGATCAAGCTGTCTGTGTCTGTAATTAGGCGCTCTACGGACTTTCCTAGTCGTTCAGCCTCACGTTTCATATTCATAAAATAGTGTGCATCTTCTCTCAGTTTAACTAATTCTTCACAATACGTCTCACCATCATCAGAGGGTTTTACACTTTCAAAACCTGAGGTCTTTTCATAGGCATCTTCTGAGTCACTCTCTCCACCAATAGGACCTTCTCTCTTTGGTTGAACATGACGTCCATCTTCACTGTCACTTTCTTTTTTCCCTGCATCACTTTCTGCATCACTATCACGTGGGCTTGCTGTTCGCATTCCCAAGTGTGACACAAGATCATAGCGTTGAACATTCGATAGTAAAACTCGGTTTTCATACTGAAGTTTCATTACCTTAGAACTAAGCTCACTTATCTGAATGCGAGCTGCCTTTAGCTCCTCCTGTACTGACCCATTGCATTTGGAAGAGTTGTCATCGATCCAGACAAGGTCCTGCACAGGACCAAACTTGAATCTGTTCAGCTCAGTTGTAAGCTGTTTATTGTGATCCTCTATCTCAGAAATGGATCTCCTCAGCAGCTCTGCTTCCTCTTCCACAAATTGGAGGTGGCGTCGTAGCTCTGTGGCAGATTCCATGGAATCACCATATGGTGAGGTAGGAATGCTTGAAACATACTCCCTGCTTAGAAATTCTTTTTCATACTGGCACCTGAGGTCTTCCATTTCTGCTTTAATGCCCCTGTTTTCCACCTCTAACTCAACTATTTTTCTTCCAAGGATATTAGCTTCCTCTTCAACCCCACCAACTTAAGACGTAATTTTAATTCAGCTTCTCTAGTGCTGGGTGGGCCCCCAGTCTCTCCTGTTGGTAGAGGACTTTCTACATCTCCATAGACTGACTTGTACTTCTCCAGTTCCTGCTCTAGATCATCCTTCTCTTTTCCAAGTTTGGCCATTTTCTTTCTCATCAGTGCTGCTTCCTCTTTTGCGAATTGAAGCTGACATTTTAAGTCGGCACTGTCTTCCTGTATAAGTATAGAAAATACACATTTTTCTATTAACATTTTTTTATAGAACTGCAATCATAAAATATTGTTATCAACCATTCTCTGTGCAAGCTGCTTTCCACTTTAGGGTAATCACTTCTCTTCAGTAATTTCTTACCTAAATTAACATTATTGTTCCCAGTTGACCTGATAAAAGCCAGTAGGCCATACCACTTAGCAATTCTGTTCAAAATGGCAAATTTGTTAAAGCTGACAGTAGAAACTCCACACTTCTGGATAATAAAATTTACAACATTCAGGTGATTCTCATGCTTTGGGAGATTATGTAAACATACAAGAAATCTTATAAAAATATTACCCTAAAAGTTAATGGGCAGTTTTTGAATCTTCTGGAGAAATAGGTAGAATTAAGTAGGGTTGCACCGATACCGGAATCGGTGTCACTGCCAATACTAAGCAATAAGTACAAGTACTCGTGCAAATATGCCGTTACCTAAAAATTGATATCTTTGCGGTTCGATTTGAGCCCATACAAAATGAATGGGCTCAAATCGCACTGCAAAGAATCACATGTGATTTAAACAGGAAAGTGGTGTGATTCCTGTCCAAATCACATGCGGTTTCTCCCACCGCACCTGTGTGAACCCAGGTTTGTCATACTGACTTCAGCCTGGGTTCACACAGGAGCAATGCGGAAAACTGCATGTGATTCAGACAGGAATCGCATTCCTGTTCTAATCACATGCGATTCTTCAATTTAATTTGAGCCCATTCACTTTGTATGGGCTCAAATCACATCGCAAAGATACTGGTAATTGGTATCAGCAAGTACTTGAGCATAAGTATCAGTACTCGTAGGAAAAAAAAAAGTATTGGTGCATCCCTAGAATTAAGCTTTGCACTGATTTCTAACAAATCAGAACAATCAAAATATATTTCCTCCGTATACCACTACATCTGGTATCCTACAGCCTCTGATATTTAGTGAATGTAGAACATCCAGATTCACCTGTAGTCCATGGACTATGTATCTGATGGAATAATGGACTATTACTGCACATTACTGACCTGTGTGGATGTCTGGGGCGTACTTAAAGCCTAAAATCTAGACAAAACTGAATTATCATCCCTTTTCCAATTTCAAAATAATAGCTCTCTCATAATGCAAATGCAATTCAAATTCATTAGAAGGTCCCCATATTCATGTCAAATTTGACTAAGCCATCTTTATTACTCATGTCTAGAACATTTCTAGCCCTGTCACTACATATGCAAAATATACCACTTTCTCACTAAAAAGAGCACCAACATTCCAGATATTGTTCCCATAAATTATCGTGTCAAGTAATTCATCCTACTGTTTTATGTTCTTCCACTAAGAAGACTCTCACCTCACCTACAATCTGCCATTACTGCTCTGCAAGAATAGTTCCATACTACCTGGCTATCTCAAGGCCCTCTATCATGCCTTTTACTGGCTTCCAGTCAACTGTTATTCCTATCTCTGTTCCTAGTATTTTAAATACTACATCTTATGCCACACCTATATTTCTGACCTTGTCCACAAATATTCTAAAAAAACTCCTTAGCAATTTTCCATGAGCCATTTCACTGGTACCTTATTCTGTATGCAGCCATCTAATGTAGTCCCACAACAAGCTAAGTGAATCCCATCTTCGATTCCCCTTGAAACTCAATCAGTTCCCCATTTTCCTACTTACACAATTTTCATACTCTTTCAAAAAAGTCACTATACAAAAATATCTTTTTGTTCACTACTTATGATGAGAGCTTTACAGTCTTTAAGTGCATAATAGGGATTCAAGCAGCTACTCTTATAGGAAAATAATCATTGTAGTACAAATTGTAATCTATATGCACAAATACCTTTTCTAAGTGGTGTGTCATAGCTGAAGAAAACCAGGTATTCTATTTAAACATCAATTACTTGTACAATATGCTCAGAATGAGTTGTGCAGGAACACATTTTGTAGATATTGCAACTGTAAGCAGTGCATCCCCAAACCTTCCCTGCTACTTATTCCCCAAAACACTCAGCAAATCTATTTCTAATCACAGTGTTAGAAAATCAATCTCCACCTTCATTATTACTAAAAGAAGGGTTGTGCTCAGGCAGAGCACAGACAGAATGAGCTGGCATCTGTAGAGTCAAACAAGAGATCTGAACCTACATCACTGCAGTTGTACTATGAAAATTGCTGCACTCAGGGCTAAACCCAGTCTCTGTACCATAGCTTGTTACTTCTGTTCATGTGTTTGGCAAGAACCGTTAATTTGCAAGCTAAAAAAGCAAAATTTCACTCGCATGAACAGCTTTCACCTAAAGAGTAACCTTTTTTTAATTCTTTCACATAAATCACTTTGCACGTTTTCTTTGCAAAAGCAGTAGATTCCTAATTAAGTTATTGTGCCACTTTTTCCCAAACAACTGAGTCACAGGCTTAATTTCTTATGGTAACATATTAAAAAAATAAGTATTTTAATTCAATTTTAATTATATTTTATTGTAAAATCCCAGAATGTAAATACCTGGCTGGGGGTCTTCTTATCTTTGTGCATCTCTCGGCTTCCTCTTCGTTTCAACGTACACTGAAAAAGTTTAATAGAGACAGTCTGAGATATTACAATATTGATCAAATACACTTTTGTTATCTAATCAATTACTCTTTCGGGTAGTATGTTAGGTGGAATTCTTTTTTTTCTTTAATGTAGTTGTAAGGGCACTGCCTAGTTGTGGATGTAAGTTAAAGTTGTAAGATAAATTAATACTCGATACAATCCCTGGGCAATCAACTATGATCAAATATGCAGCAAAACCTCAAATCATACCACAATGTAAAAAAAAAGCTGAACCTTCCTGCTATGTTGTTTTAACATTTCTTCAGGTTTGTAAAAGTTCAATGCAAATTGATGGTAATTGTGATCTTTTTCCCTTTTAATTAGTTCAAGTTGAACCCATACAGTCATTTTCCTGCAGTATGATATTTATGCAGTCCTAATGAAATAAGGTCTCCTTGGCTATCTGATTTATAAAATTACCAGTGGAACATTGCAGAGCTCTGTTTCTATCTGTCTGCTAGATTTTCATGTTGAAAACTACTACAATACTATAGTACTGAAATTGTAATTCCAGCAAAATTGAGGCATATAAATAGTATTTAGCAAATTATTTCATTAAAGAAGATATACATTTAAGCAAGTGTTTATTTGAATTTTGTGAAGTTACAATTTAAATGTCCATATGCGCTCTATGCTGCTGCAGATAGATATTTTTTACTTCATCTTACGCTGGTAGCACATCTCACACTTCTAAAAATTAACTCAAATTTATCAGCATAGTATGGGTTTCCTAAAATACTATGAGGTGATCGTAGCCGTATTAGTGAGAACCCGAAGGGAAAATCTACTTCAGTACAAAGAGAAAAAAACAAACAACCGTGTACATCTAGTAACCACATACAACCCAGCACTAGAAGGAATAAGAAAAATAATCAAAGATTTACAACCCATCATAACAGAGGATGGAACTCTGAAAGAAATATTCCAGCAACCCCCCAATACTGGCTTTCAGACAACCCCCCAACCTCAGAAATAAACTAATCAGTAGGAAACTTCCTTCTGATTATGATGTCACAAATAATGGAAGCACACCCTGCAATAAGAAACGCTGCAAACTGTGCAACCAAATCAATCCATAAAAAAGTGTCAGACACTCAAAAGGAATCTTCAATATTTCCGGATCATACAGCTGCACCTCCAGTAATGTTGTATACCTTATCCAGTGCAGAAAATGCAGCAAAGGATCTTATGTTGGCGAAACAGGACAGAAGTTGCAAACAAGGATGAATCTGCACAGACATACCATCAAGGAACATAAAGAAGATGACCTCTGCACACCTGTAGGACACCATTTCACACAACCAGGCCACAATATGGAAGACCGCAATATTTTAGTTCTGAAAGGAAAATTTAAATCTATCCAGGAAAGAAAAACATTTGAACTAAGAATGATAATTCTATTTGACACAAAAGATAACGGCCTTAATTTGGACATGGGATTCCTTAACCATTATCAGACAGCTTTATGACCATCTATTAGCTAAAGCTTGACCCCGTCTGTGTGAGTGTAGTATCCCCTCCTCCCCCCCTCGCTTTTGATGTATCTTATCTGTAGCCTTTTTTTTTTTCTCAATCCCTTCTAACATTCTGCTTAAACTTTGTGATTTGTAATAGTACTGCTTAGACCTTGAAGAAGGGGACACTCCCCGAAAGCTTGTCCTCAAAATTGTATGTTAGTGCAAATAAAAAAAGTATCACGGACAGTACTCAATTGTTTCTAAAATACTATGAATGAGTAATTCATCTAACTTTCACATTCAGCCCAACAGACGGCTGAATATCTAGCACTGTGCAATCATCTTGAATTTGTCCTACACAGCCAGAGTATAAAAATCCACTAATAGGTGCAAAGGGCTACCTTTGCCCATCTAACTTGAACAGTCACTTTCTCACTCTGCTTTTTGCCAGAAGCTCTTACTTTATGTTCAGCATTTTTCCGCTCCGCACTGCTGATTTACTTCCAGCTCAACCACTTTGCTTTTTTCCCAGCCATCCACTTTTTTTGCCACTTTGCTGAGACATTTTCATCTCAAAACTCTCAGGTGGGCAGGAAGAGTTCAAAATGATCACAGAGAGATCTTGCTGTTTGAGTGTTTAAGACACATAAGAAGTCAGGGGCTGACTCAAGCCATCATGCTTTACATATGACTAAAATGTTGCATTGGGGTGGCCTTGCCCTTCAGGTGCAGATTAGAACCTTTGGATTTGGCCACTCTGCACATCTCTAGCTTGTCTACCTAATCCAGGGGTCTGCAACCTTTAAGACATAAAGAGCCACTTGGACCCGTTTCCGAGAGGGAAAAAAAGACTGGGAGCCGCAAAACCATTGCAACATTTAAAACAAATCCGACACTGCATATATTGCAAAAAACACTCTGGTCATGAAGGGGGTTTAAGGGCCCAGTAAGCAAACGGTTAATCAGGGCCACAGTGTATCGTCATAATCACAATCATAGCCTTAGGTCAGTGGTGGGCAACCTTTTTTTTCGACTGAGCCAAATCTCGCCAAAACCACGATTGAAATATATTTTGAGAGAAACATTTTTAAAACTGAAAATACATCCCCCATATAGTAATTCATCCCCCATATAGTAATTCATCCCCCATAGTAATTCATCCCCCATAGTAATTCATCCCCCATAGTAATTCATCCCCCATATAGTAATTCATCCCTCATATAGTAATTCATCCCCCATAGTAATTCATCCCCCCTATAGTAATTCATCCCCCATATAGTAATTCATCCCCCATAGTAATTCATCCCCCCTATAGTAATTCACCCCCCCTATAGTAATTCATCCCCCATATAGTAATTCATCCCCCGTAGTAATTCATCCCCCATAGTAATTCATCCCCCCTATAGTAATTCATCCCCCCTATAGTAATTCATCCCCCATATAGTAATTCATCCCCCATATAGTAATTCATCCCCCCTATAGTAATTCATCCCCCATATAGTAATTCATCCCCCCTATAGTAATTCATCCCCCATAGTAATTCATCCCCCATATAGTAATTCATCCCTCATATAGTAATTCATCCCCCATAGTAATTCATCCCCCCTATAGTAATTCATCCCCCATATAGTAATTCATCCCCCATAGTAATTCATCCCCCCTATAGTAATTCATCCCCCGTAGTAATTCATCCCCCCTATAGTAATTCATCCCCCATATAGTAATTCCTCCCCCCTATAGTAATTCATCCCCCCTATAGTATTTCATCCCCCATAGTAATTCATCCCCCATATAGTAATTCATCCCTCATATAGTAATTCATCCCCCATAGTAATTCATCCCCCCTATAGTAATTCATCCCCCATATAGTAATTCATCCCCCATAGTAATTCATCCCCCCTATAGTAATTCATCCCCCCTATAGTAATTCACCCCCCGTAGTAATTCATCCCCCATAGTAATTCATCCCCCCTATAGTAATTCATCCCCCCTATAGTAATTCATTCCCCATATTGTTTGAATTCACTTACCTTTGCTCCGCGTGTTCCTCTCGCTGGGTTCCCGCGCCGTTCTGGTCTTCAGGGCGGACTGTGAGAGGAGAGGAGTTCGTCACGCTGCCCCGCCTACATCCGGGCTGCCCCGCCTACATCCTGACAGCCAATGTTTGCCAGCGGGCGCCCGGCACACAGAAGATCTGCATTAAAAGAGCCGCGGCTTGCCGGCCCTATTGCCTGTCACCTGGTGGGCAGTGTGCTCCGGAGCCGCAGGAAAGGTGAAAAAGAGCCGCATGCGGCTCCGGAGCCGCGGGTTGCCGACACCCGACCTAATCAATCACATCTTCCCAAAAGCCTACTCAAAGGAAGTAGCTGGAAACACTGCATTTGAAACCCACCACATGATTGTCCCTAGAGGTCAGGAACTCTGTTTATAAATTTGGTCTTGGGTGTTGACAGAATGAGTGACATGAGGAAAGAATGCAATTAGTTATACCAGGCACATCTGTGATACACAGTGCAGGAGCAGATTTACCCCTGGTGGCACTGGATAAAGTCCTCGTGGCAGCTACAGTACGTCACTCATCCTGGCCCAACTGACACAAATATTTGCTTGATTTCCACTTGATGACTAATTGGCAACTGCTCGGTCAAGCAACACTGTATCCAAATGAAATTTATATCATTTTGTTTTCACACAAATAGAGATTTTATTTGGTGGTACAGTGGGGATCGAAAGTTTGGGCACCCCAGCTCAAAATTTGTATTAATGTGCATAAAGAAGCCAAGGAAAGATGGAAAAATCTCCCAAAGGCATCAAATACAGATTAGACATTCTTACAATATGTCAACAAAAGTTAGATTTTATTTCCATCATTTATACTTTCAAAATAACAGAAAACAAAAAAATGGCGTCTGCAAAAGTTTGGGCACCCTGCAGAGTTAATATCTTGTACTGCCCCCTTTGGCAAGTATCACAGCTTGTAAACGCTTTTTGTAGCCAGCCAAGAGTCTTTCAATTCTTGTTTGAGGATACTTTGCCCTTTCTTCCTTACAAAAGTCTTCCAGTTCTTTGAGATTTCTGGGCTGTCTGTCACGCACTGCTCTTTTAAGGTCTATCCATAGATTTTCAATTATGTTGAGGTCAGGAGATTGTGAAGGCCATGGCAAAACCTTCAGTTTACGCCTCTTGATGTAATCCTCCGTGGATTTCGAGGTGTGCTTAGGATCATTATCCATTTGTAGAAGCCATCCTCTCTTTAACTTCAGCTTTTTCACAGATGGCATCAAGTTACCATCCAAAATTTGCTGAAATTTTATTGAATCCATTTTTCCTTCTACTCGTGAGATATTCCCTGTGCCACTGGCTGCAACACAACCCCAAAGCATGATTGATCCAACCACATGCTTAACAGTTGGACAGAGGTTCTTTTCATTAAATTCTGTGCCCCTTCTTCTCCAAACGTACCTTTGCTCATTCCGGACAAAAAGTTAAATTTTAACCTCATCGGTCCACAGAAC